GAAGAGATTGTTTTAAATGTTGAAGATGAAGAGTTTGGGGTGGAGATGGGGATATGGGAAGGTGGCTGAGAGACAGGCTATCTGCTCCTGTTTATTAAGGAACAGGAGCAGAAGGGTATAGATGAAACAAAGAACATGGAAAGAAGGATCTGGAACTATTATACACATTATCCTCCAGTTAAACCTAGGATTCCCAAGTCTCAGTGATCTTCTGTTGTGAGCAGATAACTATGAAACCCTCTGGCAAAGTGCATCTTATCCTCCAATAGTGGTTGGTCTGCACAGAAGATAATAGACTTCTGCGAATACCAATTACTCCTCAACAGGTAGAGGGCTGTGCTGTGGATTTAAACTCTGCTGATCCATTTTTGGGGAATCATATAACTGTATGTTACAGGATTCACAATTTTTCTTGATTTCTTAAACGAAAAACTAGGGAAGTACATTAAAAATTAAGATAGGAACACATCAAGATGTATATTTAAGCGCTCAAGAGTTAGGAAACACTGGAATTAGGGTTGACTGGGCAATTTTAAAGTTAACTTCTTTATACCTATAGTCTAAGGCACAGTCTTTAATGACATGATCATATACATAGTGTTTTCTGTAGAACCTATGCCTCATTCAGGAAAGGAATCAGAATATTTAGTGAATGAAGCTGTTGTCTAGAGGACCCACCGAAGCCGTTGCAATTAGCTACTATATGTAATGAATGAGGCCAGAGGCTACGGAAAGAAAGGATAGTTTTGTGGCTTAGGCAACTGAATGGCACGCAAGAGAATAGTAGGTTTCTAGCACTGACCCTCCATTGAGTACCCATGGAATGCTGTGCAAGTTACTCACCTTTTAAAAGGTGGCCTTTTATCATGTATTTCTCAATTTCTTGGTGCTTAATGTCAGCTACCTGGGATTTGATTTGCAAAAGTGGCATTAAGAGATGTTCTTTTGAACAAATAAAGAACGCTGAAAAATCAGGGCCAAACTGAACTGCCTACATGTTTGGATACTCATCTGTAAAACTGGGATAATATGAGATGCTTTATTACAGAGATGCTATAAAAAAAATCAGTAACATTTGCGGAGTACTCGTGTAATAGCTAACTATTTTGTACTTGTTTTTGTATGCTACCTATAGAGATTCTTCACATATGGTACTTGGTAAAAGCTTTCCTAAAGGAGAGATTTGAGACGCAAAATAAACCATTAGTTATATAACTGACAATTATCCAAGGTACTGGATTAAGGAGGCAACACAGAAAATATTTAGTCTTTATGGTAAGGCTAATAAGAATATAAAAAGCATGGTGTACATGTTTACAGAGCATGTTCATGAAAAGGAGAAGTTTGTGAGGAATAATAATGTACAGTACTAACATACAGTACAGCATTGAATAGCCAAAGTGAGTTAATGGAGGATATTGAAATTGTCATTTAAACAAATTCGTTCCTACTTATTAGATGCATTATTAAATTGACAGAGGCACCTAAGTGTGATCCAGTTTTCCTTTCTTCTGGCTCCTTGTTTTTCTTTGTGACTTAAGCTTAAGCCTAAAATGATGATTTGTTACAAAAGTAGGTACTTTTATATTGGGGGGGGGGGGGGGGGGGAAACTTGTGCTGGGTGGAAAAGGATCACACTGAAATGCCTAAATCCACTTGCATACCTAATAAGTGGAATAGGATCTGGCCTGTATTTTACTAAGCACTTTTCTGTGCATTGTGTACTAACATTTCTAAATAAGAATATTCAACATACAACAGAATTCTCAACTACTCAACTTTTCTCTCCTCAAATATCTTACATCAGCTTTCTTCTTCTTCTTGTATCTTACATTGTTCCATGGAAGCATCAGGTGCTCAGCTCAGCTTCTCTGAAAATCCGGATAACATTGCTTTGCTTCACTGCATTTTGTTCTAGCTGGCAGCCAAATAAAACCTACTGCATAATGCTGAACTTCAACACAGATATACAGAGTACTCCAACAAGTGAAGTATTGATGCTACCCTTGCCAGCCATGTATTAATTTGAGGTTTAACAAATAACAGCCTTAAAGATTCAGCATATTGTAGAAAATGTGTTCTTTGGGAGAAAAGTTGGAGGCTTGGCAACCTGGATGCTGGCACACCTACTAACTCACACCAAAAGGAAAGGACTACATACTTATCCAGGGCTTTGTCAAGATAAGAGAAATGAAGATGACTGCTTCCGTAGTTTGATTCTCCCCCTCCGCACTTTTGAGTGTTCTGATGACATACGTTACCAGAATGGACTTTCCTGGGTCTCCGTAGCCCTGTTATATCTGAGCTGTATCAGAAGAGTCTCTCTTTTTTGTCCTTGTTAAGTGAATTTCAGGTCAACTGAATTCTTGGAGGATCGGCTTTGGGCATTTCACCAGAGACTGAGAAATCACAAGGGGAAGGAAGGAAGGAAAGAAATATAAGCCAAAAGGATGTTATGATAGAAAGGGAGTTACTTTGGGCCCCTAGAAGATTAGAAAGTAAGGCCAACCTCATAGCTTTCTACAAAAGTACATATGCTTGTTTTCTAAAAGGTGAGGTGATTGAGGCTAGGTACAGAGGTTCAAAAACCCCCATGCAGATTCACACTAACTTTTGTGGCTTTTTCTAAATGTCCCCGATTAGTTTCAGAGCAAACAGAGGTCATGTTCACCCTTGGGGGGAAGGGGCAGGGACGGAGGCAGCCTGCACTGGCCGAGGTCAGCAGGCTGGGGGGGCTCACAGCCGGCTGCTGGAGGATTCCAAACCCAGCTGAGCATCAGAGCAGCCGGCGAGTCCCAATTGGCCAGCATGACCCCAGCCCCCCCAGCTGTTGGCTGTCACCAGTGGCTGGGGGCATGAGGGAATACACCCCCCTGCCGAGCAGACCTGCCCAGCCCCCTCAAGACCTACGCTAGCAAGCTGAGGGGGCAGTGTGACAGGGGGGCTCTGTTCCCCCACTCCTCCTGCCCCCAGGTCTTGGTGCAGTGAAAAGCTGGGCAGCTGAGCTGCAGCTCCTAGCTACAGCTGTCAGGAGGCTGGGGCAAGAGGGGGAATGGAGCCCCCGTGTCAAATAGGCTCCCCTCAGCTTGCTGGCTCAGGTCTTTGGAAGCCGGGCTGAGCCAGGTCCGCACAGCGGGGGACTCCACTGCTCACCCCCCACCCCAGCCTCTTGACAGCTGCAACCAGGAGCTGAAGCTTAGAGCTGCCCAGCTTTTCACTGTGCCAGGAACTGAGGGAAGGTGGGGATGGGACACCACTGCCATACGAGCCACCCCCAGCTTGCTGGCTTTGCTCTTGGCAGGGCTGGGCTGGGTCCAGGCAGCAGGGACGTCTGTTCCCCCACCCCCAAACCTCAGTTCCTGGCACGGCAAAAAGACAGGCAGCTCTGAGCTGTAGCTCCAGCCTGCAGCTGTCAGGAGGCTGAGACAGTGGAGGAGGGAATGGAGATCTTTGCTGCATAGACCCAGTCTGCCCCTTCCCCCGCACCCCCAAGACCTGAGCCAGCAAAGTTGGGGTTTAGGGAGGGGAGGGGAGGGCTCTATTCCCCAACCCCTGCCCTCCCCAACCTCAGGAGATAGAGGCTTTTTTGGCTTCTGTTTGCAAGCACCTGGGGGTGGGGCTGGCCCAGTGGTCACCTGGAGCAGATGAGCATGGGCCAAGGCTAGTACACCACCTTGCAAGGGGCATCTGGGATGCCACAAAGCTATGTGATCCACTATGTGATCTGGTACAGAAGAAGGTAGATAGACTGGTTTAACCTAAATCAGTTAAGTCTAAGACCATGTGTATACGAAATGAGAGGCATGTGTGCGTGACACTTTAAAGTGGGCTAAATGCTTTTGCACCGCTTTAATGGTGTCAGTGTTTGTACGCCTCGGCAGCATATTGTGCATTAATTCCACCCGCTGTAGGAAATTCGGTGGCATAATGTGCCTTAAATGACTTGGGGCCTCAAATGACTCCTTTGAGGAGTTTTAGTTTGCTGGCCCTACAGCTGCAGAGAGAAGCACCGGGCTCTGTGCAACTCTGCAGCAAGCCCTGCAGGCAGCCTAGCAGCAGCCGGGGAAAGCAGGCTCCGCCCAAGAAAAGCAGTGAGCCTGATCTTCCCCTCCACCGGAGCCTGCCTGCCTTCCTGAGCTGCGCAGGGGCCCGGTGCTTCCCTCTGCGGCTGTGGTGCCCTCTGGGAACACCTGAGCTGGGTGCCTGTGGGCGGGTGCCACCTGGCAGGGGGAGCTGCCGCTGTCACGGAGGGAAGCATCAGCTCCCCCACCGCAGCCCAGGGACTGCTCCACCCACTGGGAGCTTGTCCTCCCCTCCCCACCAGAGAGGCAGTTAAGTCAGCAGGGTGTGTGCATGACACAGGAGTTTAATCAGCCCTAAATTGAAGCAGTATTTTTTAAAACCCACCACTTCAATTTAGGGCCCCTATTTCATCTACACGCCCTAATACTACATCCATCCAGGACTATCTTAGACTGGGTTCCACCATTTTGAAACCAGTTTGTGTGTGCTGAACTTCTGTTCTGTTACAGGTTTAGACCAGTTTCCAATCACTTATACCAGTTTATGTACAATATCTGCATCTAGCCCAAGAGAGTGTTAAATCAATATATAGGCTTTTCCAAATATGGCTTTTAAAAGGTTGTCATAGTTGTGAAGATATGTCACTTTCCAACAAAATAAAAAACATGTAATTTGATTTGTAATTTGATTCCCACTAATGGGGATAAAGGTTTTGAACTTTTTACAAAAGGCTATATATAAGATCATTACATTTCTAAAAAATATGATACCAAAAAAGAGGACATGAATAAAAGAAATCTTCTTTCTTTCCTCTGTACCTATGTGAGAAAAGCCAAACAAATGAAATAAATCACAGTTCTTTTGTCTTGTAGTCTTTGGCAGGAACTTTCCCTTTGAGATAATTGCTCCCCTCTCAGCACTATAGAGAAATTTTCAAGTACAATGGATATGTGATACTCTGAAAAATAAATCTTCTACCCTGAAAACAACAGAGGAAACAAGCTTTATTTTTATTATTGGATTTTTTTGCGCGTGGTAAAGATACACACTTGACTTTTTCTTCCTACACTTCCAAGACAGAGTAAATTTAAATTTTTAATTTTAGGCTAAAGCATCAAAAATACCGTGGCACACATGAAGCTAGACTACACACATACAAACACTTTTCGATGCACATCGTTCATCCTTGACCTTAAGTAGACAGAGTTTGTATTTTGTTCTATAAGGAAAAAATTAAAACAAATGACTAGAATATTTTATCAGTTTAAGAGTGTGCAAGACTTTACATGTTCTGTACATAAAACATATGAAATGGACTTACAAAGATGGAATGTACAAAACCTAAAAAAAACTAAAAAAAAAAACAAACAAAAACCCTAAAAAAAAAAAAAAGCAAAAAAAAGCATATTCATTTCTAAAACCAGAAGGGTACAATGTATCAAATGATACAGATTTCTAGCACAGGGATATTCTGATACATTATGCAGATTATGGAACATTCCCATGTCATAAAGCAAAAACATCAGGGTTAAGGCTGTGTTGCTCACAAACATCAACTGAAGTGCAGTACATTCATCAGAAACAACATACCCTATTTAGAATCATTCTATTCTACAATAGAAATATCTTTCATACAATCTCCACAAACAGACCAAATAATCACTACTTACTTCCTTGATGTACATCACAACTTCATACTTGTTGTCATCCATAAATGAAAATCATTTCCTTATGACAAACATAACTTATTGGGCACTTATAGTTTTCATTATGGCAACACTAGATCCTTAGTTATAAAAATATTAACATAATTGTAAAGTTGAAAGCTCTGTAACTTTTACAGAACAAAACAGCATTTACTAATAAATAAGTGTCTAGCAATATTAGACAATATTCGCCGTAAACCATATTGTTTTTTCTTTCCAGTCACATTGCTAAAACTTTAATCTGTGTAAACATGCATTAGTGTTTCTATTGAATTTAACTATTTTCTTCTATTTAAAAAATGAGTGATTTTGCAGTTTGTCCTAAAAGACTCCATGTAACATAACATCTGATTATCTGTTGAAAATCCTTCCAGTAGGTATGTCATTTTAAACAGAACATAAATCTTTGCCATCCATGCCTTCTGTGCTGCTGATCAGTACTGCACTGATGTCAACGCTGTACTGGGTGTACCTGGAATTTGGACAAAACAGCTGGCCCGGAGCCTTTTATCAATGTTAATAACTGATAGTTATTATTGCATCAAACAGTGAAATTCTGACCATCACTTACATGGGAGAAAAAGAATCCATCACAAAAAATGACCAAAATTCTGCTGTGGTAGCTCTCTGTGAGGTCTGTAATCCAAGCATTTCAGCTGAGTAGGTTTAAAAAACACATTGTAACAGCAATGTGTTTCTCAGTTTTCCTGTGCCAGGCACATTAAGGCTGCCTTTATGAAGGGACTGAATAATTCAACTGGGTTTAAATGGCAAGTATTTGCTAGGTAAAGGCAATCTAAATCAGTGTCAATTTTCAGCACTGCTCAGATGCAGTGGGTATGGCCATAGTCAAAATTCTTAAAAAAAACAATACAAAGGAAGAACAAAGACCTAGAAGTCTTCAGGAAAAGGCTCCATCACGCATAACATCTGTTAGCTTGGTTGTAAGGAGAACATGTAAAGTTTCAGGTTTCATCCAGATGTAATAAAGTTGACATAGCTAAGCAAAGTCTTATTTATTAGTACCAGATGAAAGGAACTCTCTGATACTCTCTGATAATCTTAAGGGAACAATGTATAAATGTACATGTATGTAAGCATGAAATGGTGTCATTTACAGTATGGGTTTTAACATATAGTTTAGGATTGGATTCCTGTGGCACTCTTGTCAATGGAGGATTTGGCCTATAGTGTTTTCTTAATTCATGGAAATCCTTCCATTTAAATTTAGTAAAATATTTTTACAAAATCCTTGGCCAAATTTGACTGATAGTGTCCTTCAAAAACAGCCTACAGCAATAGCTTATTTCTCTCTTTCCTTTTAGTTTTCAACTTAAAAATTGGTGAAATCCTTTTTCTTAGTGAATAAATATAGCTGAAATGTCATATACATCATTCTTTTTCATTAGGATATTAAGAGTTTTCAAGTTGCTCCAATGTCTAAGATTGATAGTGTGAGTGTTGAATTGAATGTTGATTATAAAGACACTTTTAAAACACAGCTTTGGGTACCATAACATTTGAGTTACAACTGTACTTGATTTTGAGAATAGTTTATACTGTAATAGTTTTGACCAACTTCCCTGCAGAATTTTAGGACAAACTGAATTCAAACCCAAAATATTTTGCTTTCTTCATAATAATTACCTTTGTTTTTAACATTTGATAAGCAATATTACCAACTTTGCAGATACATTTTATGCCAAACCCTAAACCCTTACATAACACAGTCATTCTACTGAAATCACAAGACTCAAAGGTTTGTAAGATTGGGTTATATGTGCAAAATCAAGTAAAGGAGAGAGAACAATAAATATAATTATTAAAAAAAAGAGACTACTTCATCTTTATGAATTGCAGGATCTACTCTTTTTTAACATTAAATGTTTCTTTACAGAAAAACTGGAAGTGAAAGGCATGTTTCTCAAAAGAGTCGGAACAACAGATTTCACCTGTTAGAAATAAGCCGATATTTAAAACAAGCAATTTAAAAACAAATCTCTTCCATATTTGCAGGCTGGCAGACATGCTTAAAATATCTCCCCATTCGTTGCCCCCACCCCACTTCTTTTTTAAGATTCCAAAACAAAGAAAAGCAAGATACGACTCTAAACAATTTCTACCATTGGCACATGCTAACTAGCTCCTCTGCCAAGGTCTGAGACAGAATATGGCCCTATATCATCATACCCTAGCAACATCTTGTGACTCTTGAGTTCATATTCTTAATAAAGCTAATGCTTCTGAAAAGGGACAGGTGCACATTATAAACAAGAAAATAATGATAGCAGAGCCAAGTCATTGGTTGTAAGCATTTTCAATTATGTTGGTGTTTCACAAGGAACAGATTTTGTGGGGGACTCTCTTCAGAGCGCTGCCATACTCAAAAGGCTTTTACAGTTCAGCTAGCTGAAATCACTTACACTTAATCTCTTCATTATTGTGTCAGACACACACACACACACACACACACACACACGTAATGGGACAAATCCTGCAGCCCCTGTTTTGTCTTTAAAGAAAGTTTGGATTGCAGGAACTGGTTAAATTTTTGATTATTTGAGATGTACTTTTCTTAAGTTAAAAACTAATAGCTTTGGTAACCCTTGGTTTTCACCATACAACTCAGTTAACCAAAGTTCCTTTGGTTGTACAATGTAGGTCCTCCAAAAGGGTACCTGTCTGGCTTTCTATCCTGCATGATGCTATGTTGTTGAACACAATGGGTTGTCTCAAGAAAGCACAGCAAGGAACGTGTATGGAAGAGTGGTACACATGAGTTTAATTGAGTTGACATCATATAACTGTGTTGACCCTGATTCTAATGAATTAGTTTTGTGTTAATGGGTCCATCATTCTATAGAAATTCAGCTGTCACTAATGTTATTACAATAAAGTCTTCTCAAAGCTTTAGAAAGTTCAGGTTTTTTCAAAGTCCTTACAGCCTATTGAGCATTAGGAGGGGTGAGAAACAAGCACATAAAACAATCCTTCATTAATCCCACAAAGAGTAGGAAGTTTGCACTGATGCTTGTAGTGCTAAAAGTTGAGCTGTTAGGTCTCACAATTACAGCTAGAAGATTTTATATGACTTAACTTTATATTTTTACTAAAAGAACCTACTGTTTATAGTTACTAAGTCTGAAGAACGTTACAAGTGTAATACCTACCATGATAATGAGATCTAGAAGAGTCCCAGACTTCATTTCTGGGTTAAATAATGCATACCAATGACACTTTTCAAATTTGGAAGCTCAAAACAGGAGCTATCCTTTCCAGGTCAAACAAACCCATTCAAATAGTTTGGGGTTTTTTAAATTCCTTTTTTTATATTGGAAAATTAGCCAACTATATAAATTCCTGTTCCATAAGCTGCAGTTCACATATTCAATATTTCATTGTCTTCATGAATTCAGCAAAGAGGGTTTTGTTTACTAACCCTTACAACAAAAAGTTCCATGACGAACATAAGAGATGCAAGTCCTACGTAAACATGGTACATTTGGAAATTAACATGAGAAGTCCACTGAAGACACCTTCCATTATTAAAAATGAATTCTTTTATGTAGTGGACATCCAGCAGAGAGAACAATTTAGGATCTCTGGGACCAGTCGTATGTTTAGGGCAGAGAATTATCCATTCCAAAGCCCATTGTTACTGTAAGTACCGATAGACCTTGAAGCAATGATTTCCAGAGTCTGCAACTACAACATGGCCATCTGAAGTTAGGGCTAGACCCTGGGGACCATAAAGTGGGTCAGCAGATGTGTTAATGTAGGATAAAAATGATCCACTTCCATCAAAAACCTTCAAGGGAAAGAAAACACATACCAAATGTTATGAATGAAAAATAAAAGTAATGGGCCACATTCCTCTCTCAGTGACATTGGTATATGTCTGAAATGATTTCAGGAACTAGTGTGAATTTACACTATTCTAAGTGAGAGCAGAATCTGACCCAGTATCTCAAAATTAAAAAGTCACATTTATAAATATATTTCCCTATGAAGCCTATCTACATCTCTGTGTTTGCCAAAAATTAAAAACATACAATCACATTAAAAATAAAACCAGCAGCTGTTCCTCACTCCAAAAATAACCAACTACAAACACAACCCAATCAACACCTCCTTTCTCTTCCAAATATCAGTGATCATGACCCTTCAAACTCCTACAGAGATACACAGGTCTGAATCTGTTAGTTTCTCAGGGCATAAATTACTTGGATTAGGAAGAAAAGTATGCTTCATGAAGAATTTTTCAACAGCTCCTTTTCTTTTATAACAAACAAGCATCAACTTAAACATTTCTGCTTATACATATGTTTAGTTGTTTATTAGATATGTTTTGCAAATGACAATAATATACAATAATTAATCACTGAAACTTATCATTGCATATAAGAAGTGCAACTTTAACAACAAATACTGAATATGTTCTCAGTTAAAAAGGAGAAAAGACTAAAGAATAAAGGAAAGAAAGTGCCTGGACTGGCCTCAGGGCTGACAGATCATTTTCTTTTTCTGAGTTTTAAAGTATTCTATCTTCTGTTAAATTTCTGTTAAAGTGAAATTACCACCCCCAAGGTAGGTCCAGGGGGTGTGGTAGTGCAATTACAACCCATCTTCTGCTCTGTAGTGCAGTGAGGGATCGCTACCACCAGGCCAGGGGGGGACACAGCCAGGGAGGACTAGGCACAGGAAAGGGGGATCTGCCCATTGCTGCTGTCCATGGCACTCTGAACATCTGCTCCCAAAAGATGGTGGCCCTGGGCTGGCAGGGAAAACCCAGGGGGAATGGTAAGGGAGCATTGACCCATCTGTGGATGCAGTTCCTGGCTGACCCCAGCACCCCATAGAGCCACTCCCCATATCTGGAGCCCCCAAAACCAGGAAGGGGGATATCTGCCTGCCACTCATCTCAGCTGACTGGGAGCAGGGGGAGCCCTAGGGCTGTTCATGGCCTGCTCTAGCTGGGGGCTGCAGGGAGCGGCTGCCTGGGATGCTGAGTTTGGCTAGGGGTAGCAGTGACAGTGGACAGTCTCTACCTTCCTTCACCTGCTCACTGCCTGCCCCCTCTAGGTGACCTCATTGGGCCTGCAGACGCCAGCCGCATCTCATGCTCCCCACCATGGTTGGGCTGTGGTGTGGGTCACATCTGCTACACATCATTTTTTAAAATCCTAGATCCATCTATGCTAGCACTTGTACAGTACTGAATAAAAGCCTCCTGTGTAAAACAGTTGTATGTGATTTTTCATTTGAGGCCAATTGTATTTGCAGAGTACAGTGCATTATGGGAATACCTCAGGCTTAACGTTAAGGGCTCTGCATGTACCAGTGGCTACAGAAGCTGTGGCAGAAATGCCACCGTCTGTGTCCCTCTCCAGAGATCTGTCTCTGCCAGCGTGAGAGGCTGGTATTGAATTCCTCAGGGCGGGGGATCTGCCTCCCTGCCTACATGACAAAAGCCTGGTGCCTTGGAGGCGGATTCTCTGGTCAGCTGGGGCGGGGGAGGGAAAAGCCCCGCTCACCGACCCAGGTAGCCAGTGATGCTTTTTTGAATTGGTTGGCTAGTGGCCAGCACTGGCAGCTTCGATTGGACCGGGCTGCTGAGGTTAGAAAGGTTATTTAAAGGCCCAGTCCAGGAAGAAGGGAAGCCTTTAGCCATGCGGTCACCCAGGTGATTCTGAAACTGGCTCTCTCCTCATAACCGCATGCTCAAAGAGGGACCTGCCTCCAGAGGAAAACTCCAACCACCTCTGGATGATGCGTGTGAGTAAGCTACTCGAAATCCGACTAGATATTTAGCTTACAGTAACTCAGATGCGAGATCAAAAGGCTACCTCAGCCATACTGGTTTGCTCTATGGGATCCCTCTGATATTCCTCTGATATATTTCTATGTTACTGCTCTACCTTTTACCCTGTTTTCATCCTACCCCCTGTAATCAATAAAGTTCTCCTTTGTGACCGGTGTGGGAGACTTATTGAGGGGTGGGTTTAAATTATGCCTAAGAGGGCCCTTAGGTCTGTGGACTAAGGGAGACTTTCCTAATAAGCCCCTGACTTGGGGAAGTGCCCCAAGTGCCTGTATTGGGTCTAGTACTCATTGGACGATCAGGCCTGCGTTTTCCAAGGTGCGCAGAGCCAGAATTGAGTCCAGAGCCTTGGATGGTGGCAGCGGGAACCCCAGGCTAGTGGGTGTGCTCCAGGGAAGGGGTCAGCCAGACGTGAGGCACCCCAGGGAGGGCACTCGGAGCCTGGAAGGTGGTTGGGCGCAGTGAGGTGGGCGGCTCAACGCAGAAGCACCCCCTACTGGCCCACCACAGAAGCAGAAGAGGTTTTTTTAGTGTTCTGTGGCAGAAAGTGGGAACAAACAACCAGTGATCCCCAAGAGAAAAATTAAAAGGAGCAAGTCCTCGGGTCACCACCCGGAAGAGCCAGGATGGAGGAAACAAGTGTCTTCTAGAATAAGACCAGAGTTTACTACCATACTTTCTCCCAAAAGACACATTAACATAAAGGGAGAAGCCCAGGCTAATCTAGGAAGGAGAACCTTAGAAGACATGTGCCACCCCTGTTGGGGCAAAAGGTGTGGTTTCAATCCAGCTCAGATCTTTATCCTACAGATATAAAGGCACCATTCACATGGTAGTTGGATGAGGAAGTCCATTCACCCAGCCCCTGCGTTCTGACACAGAACAGAGCAAAGTGCCTGATTTTTTCAGGAGATTAAAAGCCAGCCAGAGGCATTCAGCAGACCCAGCTAGAAGCACTTCTCAACAAGATAAATATCTATTAGCTGCCTCCTATCATCTGAGAGATATTTTAAGAATGTGGTTGTCTGAAGAATAGCACTATCTATGCCATTCAGAAATTCAACTGTTCAATTTGCCATTCTCTCTACGTTTTTGCATATCTTGGTATCCCAATTTCACATGGCATGATGAGACTATTTCATAATATCTATGGGGTGGTATTCAGAAAGAGAAGCAGCTATCAATTGTAAGATAGCAGTTGGTAGCCTATGCCATAAAGGTGGTGTAATAAACTCTGGTTCAGTTTGCTCTGAAGAAAACTTATTCCAGGCACAGTATTTACATGTGTACCCAGCCTTACAGTAGTTTGAGCTGGGGTGGAGCAGCCCTGGACTGGCAGAGGGTCCAAGGGGTCAGTCCTGGGCTCTAGGTGGTGGAGGGGCTGGCTGCGGCATGTGGGTGTTAAAGTGCCAAGATAGGCAGCAGGTAGCCCCCGGGCTTTAGCACTCGTGTGCCCCAGCTAGCCCCTGGCATGGTCTACACATGTGTTTCAGTGGAGTAAATTACTCTGCTGTAGGACAGGACTGTCATTGACATTACTATCCTATTATGGAGTAAATTAATATACTGCACCCTGATACCAGTGCATGTGTAGACTGTGACGCTTTACTGTAGAGCTAATTAGTCAACTCCACAGTAAATGCACCCAATGAGAAACAAATTGATGGGTCTGGTCTATTTTTAGAGAATGGGTAACTTAATCACAATAATTCTATCAGCCTTTTTAGCAGTCATAGCGGAGTCTGAGAACTGAAAGAACACGGAAACTATTAACCCTTCTACTCTTAAAAGTGACCATCAGCATTGACGTATGTTAAAGGTTGTGTTAGAAAGCCTGTCTTGGCTAATTCACCTCTTTTGTGGGAAATCAGAAGACTTGAATTTCCAGGATGTCATTCCAGTACCTCTCATATTATTTAATTTTTTTAACTATATATACACATATAGACATTTATTAAAAAAAAATGTCTACCTGTATTCGACTGTTTCCCCAGTCTGCTACAATAATATTTCCATTAGAATCTACAGCTACTCCTGTTGGAGCATTAAACTGGCCATTTCCTTCTCCATTAGATCCAAACTTCAATATGAATTCTCCTTCTTGGTTAAATACCTACATAATTAAAAAAAATAGAGACAGAGTGAATAAAGGATTAGTTCAGACATCTAAACCTCTACTAAACCTCTACTGATCTCTACAGCTGAGGCTGGCATTGCTACTGGCATTACTGGGGGCAACTACACTAGCAAAGCAGAAGAGTCAGAATTAAATGCACCCAAGAGTCTCCTTCCTTCTGGATAAGCCTTGCTTTTCTGAACACTCTTGACCTAGGTATTTTGGTTTCTTATTTCCTTTTCTCTGGTTTTAATAATGTAAAAGTGTTGTGTTTACTTTGCTGATAGAAACAGTAAGGTATACGTTATAAAGCTGGAGTTATGCTTTCCTAGAACAGTATATGAAACAGTCAGTGTATTTACATTTCATCATACTCAAATGCTTAACATGTCATTTTGGGGATGTGGATGACAGGTGAAATAGGAATGAAGAACAAAAGAACAAAAATCTGTCGGGATTCACTCAGATCACCAATCCTAAACTACACCCTGAACAGGGAGAGGAAGAATGAGTTAATTAAAAGAAAAAGTACTCTATTCCAAGAATCACACAAAACCTAAACCATCTCAAAGTTCTGAAAAATGTGGGTTTAAGAATAAGACTCAACCATATAGAACAGGTGTTTTTTTTTCCTTTTTCCACACATACAGTCTAACCTGTATACAAGGGGCTCATTTTGCAATCAGAAAAGTATCCAACATGCAAAGTGGCTTCTAGCTCATCTCAGTCCCAATCAGTGCTGTTAATTGCAGTATGGACACAGAGTGTCAGGACACCTTTTGTCATACCTTTGTGCCTAGTGACCTAGGAAATAGGGAGCACAAAGGCTATACCTGGCTTGCACTCCTAGTCAGTTCAGAAGCAGTTGACTAAAGCAACCTTTCATTAACCATCAGAGCTAGATGGGCCTGAGAACAATAGGAAATTGCACCCTCTCTATGGGTTATACAGCAACTGTGCTGAAGATGCATAAATAGTTTCTAAAAAATTATCCAGGAAACAGAGAGCTGGAAAGGCTCTATCACTAATCCTGATGTGGTGAGGGAAAGCACGCTTAGCCTGTGTTTCAGACAGGACTAAGAAAGAGAAATCATTTTTCATAGCCAAAACATGTTTGTCTTGTCTTGGACCATCCCGTGAAACTTCTGTTCTGACTCAAGACCTAGGCATTTGCAGGAGCTCCCGTGTAAGAACCATGTCTCCAAAGTGAATGGTACAAGAAGGGGGTTGCATTAAAGTTATGAGATTTGGTAAATTTTTAAGAGAAATTTTTCTGGAGGCACAGAATGCCTATGGTGACCATATTTCTTGGATCTCAGTGAGTGACAGGCTTCCCCTCCTTTCCACTCTGAACTGTGCCCAGCTTTTTCCAGGCACCAATCTCAAAGGAAAGCAGGGCAGAAGAGGTGCCTGGAGCAAAGCACATGGGTGAGCAGGGCAGTAAGACACCTGTCCCAGCTGCCTTGTTAGTTCCTTCAAATGAGTGTTTTTGTCCAGTGGGAGGTTTCTGCAAATGGGACAAAAGTGTTCATTTGAAGAAACCAAAAAAACACCCAGGACAGGTGTCTAAACCAGGACTGTCCCAGCAAAAATAGGATGTACGGTAACCCTAAGAATGCAGCTCTACTTGAGAATGCATCTGACAGACAAATTAGGGAGAAGCGTGAACCACGACTGTACTGTTAAGTGGGAATGATGCCTTCAAGTCTTGTTTGCACTCTAAAGCTACCATGCTCTCAAACAGGCCACACTACTCTGTGTGGGCTGTCTCCTAAACCAGAAGCAGTGTAGCCACATCCACACAGTGTTGTGGTGGTGCAGGGGGACAGAGGCTAATTGGCTCCATCATTTAACAGCATGGGCATGTTCCACACTCCTGTGACAAAGCAGCAAGAAAGAAAGAGGGCAGACACCAAACAATGTGGTTCTGTATTTTCATAGCATTACTGGGGACTCTAGGTAACCTGTCTGGGCAAGAGAAGACCAGCCATAAGCCATAATGATTTACTAGTACAGGGAGCCAGAAATAAAAAGGAGAAAAATAATTCAAGATAAGAGACTTATACTGGGCTGCACTGGCAGGGGCATTGCCAGCAGGTCTTCAGGAAGGGAGACAAATTTTCAAATCAAATAATTTGTAGGGTGGTCCCTGAAGTAAAAACGGAACAAGATAACGAGAAAAAGCAGAGACATGCTTATCTATTTCCAGGGTAGAAAAACGAATTATCACTGAGGGGCAGAAGTCCGGCTTGAATGGGTTGCCATGGGAGAAGAAGGTGAAAGAAAACAGAGATCCCTGAAGGGAAACGGTGGTAATTATCATCAGGGATTATGTTTCATTTAAGCTTGATGTGATGTGGAAATGTTTTGGGGGTACTGGAGGATTTTAAGTACTAAAATAACATTTGGGAGATTGTGCTCTGCTTCACTTTCTAAGAAGAAAATAATAAATATCTTCACAACGTACAAAAAACTGTCCAATTTGTCAGCAGTTATATACGCTGACTTTAGAGTAGAACACCACAAAAATAAGAATAGAAAATAATAGAAATATAAGAAAAGGCTTTTTATTCAATTTAAATACTAGTTGGGTGAAACAATAATGTTATCTACTGAGTCACAACTGGATCAGAGAGACACTTTAATCTTATTAGAAAGTAATGTGTAGATTTTAAATTTATTTGAGGCCACATTTCTTATACCTCCTTTGACTTTATTTGTGTCTTGTAAGCTGTTTTAGTTTCAGAAGTGCTCATCAGTCATTCATATTGCTGCAGTGAGCCCTACTGGTCAAGGTATAATTTATCAAGTCAAACTACTTCTGCTCCTAACCCATGTAAACAATCTGCTTTATGGCTCCTGCAGTGGTGTTGCTTTCTTTGTTGTAATCCAAACCACATGACATGAGCTATTTCCTCCCTAACTCGAAAAGTATAAAAAAACTAGATGGTTCAGCATAAGGTTAAAAATATTAGTGGACATTTTATCATTTATGTGACAGTAAGCACAAAAGACTTTAAGTGAGATAAATAGTAAAATATATTGCTCTCTGCATTATTAATCTGACCACAACAAAAATGTACTGGTAGTCATATTGCAGGGGTTTAGGTTGTAGCTGTGTTGGTCTAAGGACATAGGCAGACAAGGTTCCTTGGGTGAATTTGATCTCTTTTATTAGACCAACCCAAATAGTTGGAGAAAAGTTATTAAGCAAGCTTTCAGGTTCAAAAACCCTTCGTCAGGCTAAGGAAGTTTCAGCAATTGGTGTGTACTCTTCCTGGATGCCTGACAAAGGGTTTTTGAACCCGAAATCTTGCTTGCTTGCTTAACTTTTCTCCAACTATTTGGGTTGGTCTAATAAAAGATATCAAATTCACCCAAGGAACCTTGTCTGCCTGGTAGTCATATGACTTTTTAACTAGTCATGACCCAGGACTTCACTTGCATACAACAGACATCATCAAGAAGATGACTGGTTTTGCCAAATCCAGGAACGTGTGGTTTAAATGTTATGGGTGGAGTTATGCAGGCATTAAGACTAGATGGCCAGGAATGGCTCCTATGACATTTAAGATACAAATCTATGAAAATATAATTGGACATTTAACATGTGATCTCCATTCACTATGCTTTGTTATACTATTTTTAGGTTATAAATGATGGAAGCTTTTCTTGAAACTATCTAAGGGAAACAGAAGCCTTTCCTTTCGTGATATCAGAAAAAGGACACACTATAAAAGACACAATTTGGCAGAAAGCTAAATAACAAACTCATTATGTTTGCTATCACTTCAATTTATAACTTTCACTTAAGCTATATTATTTAATTAGGAAAAAGTGTCCCCAAATCAAGACAATCAATTATTCCTGCATTTAGAAATTACTTAAATGCAACAGTTAAGATCTCAGAATGTTCATTCCTTAATTAAGTCTTTTTTTCTTATCAAAGCTTGTAAATTTAATTATACAGTATAAAACATGAAGGTGTTGCTTCAATGAGATTTAATTTTCCTCAAGAAAATAAGATGTTAAAATAAAAGCTAAACAAAACTGCCAGAATAGCAAAGTGGTATTAATTAACAGTACCTTGACAGAATGATTATGGAAATCTGTAACAATAATTTCATTGTTACTATTTACAGCAGCAAAATGAGGACCTGCAATGCAGAAAAGGAAAAAATAATACAAAAATAAACAAATCAGTATTTTTACTTAATGATTTAAGAAATGATGAAAATCTAATCTATCCTTAAGAAGGTTTTCAAAGTTAATTACTGAGCAATACTACTTAAATGAGAACAACACTTCAGAATTAAGAATTATTTCACCTCTGTTTTTCAAGTAACAGCACTATTTTTAATGGGCAAATTTACTGTCCTCCTACAACTCATATCATAGTTTTATCTATAATAAAGCTTGTTTTTTCATTTATTACAAACCAATTATTTTATAGGAGTTATAGCCCTTAATTAACATGGCACGGTACTTGAGCTCAGAGTAGGTTCTTCTAAACAAAAGCTTTTCTAAACAAATTTGCAGTTTTAAATTAAATGACAATGATTCACATACACTGTGTTCATTTTTCATAAACATTCAGGAATTTAAATTCTAAAACAAGAAAGTCATCATGAGTGAATGAATATAATTAGAAAAAGGCTCTTTTATTAGAAAAACTTGGCTCTGTATATCAAAGTTGCACATGCAAATTCTGGCAAAAACCAAACCTTAACATTTCAAATCACAGATACTTCAACTAGAAGTGCCATATATGCTACCTAACGAAATTGACACAGAAGTCATAGTTTCAGTATTTGTGATCAATTCATTGAGCAAGAAAGGTGAAACTATGTACACTCAAATTCAAATAGTGACTGAATCTAGGAAGTTGTGATATTCACCACAAAGAAGAGCTAAATCAATCAGATGATTTATTGCAACTTTTTTGCTTGGCTGAACTCAGGAACTTAATCCAATGAGTTTTAAAAAGAAAGGAAAATATTGTACCCAGAAAGCTTTGGTAACAATTAACTCTTGGCAGAACTAAAGCCAAAGCAAATATAATATGCACAATTATAGTGCACCATATGGCACTGTTAAGAGTCCCTAATGTAATAAAACTAGAGCATGTTCAGCTACTTGATCTGTTAGAGATGCCAACCTGGAAAAGATTGGAACAGCATGTAGTGTAAGGGCCTATTCCTCCTGTTCCATACACTCTTCTTCACTGCAGACTAACTGACAGTGATGCCTAAATGTCTGAATACCTTCAAAAGGACTTGGACAAGTTATGTGGAATCTTAGTTTCAATATTAAAAAGAAAGGAATGCACAAAAGCATAACATGATTGCATGTGCAAATGCCCAGCTTGACATGGTATTGGTAGTTTCTCAATAGCAGCCATTTCCACTTCTACAACCATGCACGACTAATTTTACACTTAAAAACTCTGTGCTTGTTTTCAAAGCTGCAAAATACTATTTATGCAACTATGTAGGTGGGGGATTAGCCAATATTTGTATGATTTTTTAAAGATATAAAGGGCTGTCAAGGTGGTAATTATCATTAATAGTTGAGTGCAGACATTTTGAAGCATTTATAAATGACCTTTTCAGATCTACCCTCCCTGGGTCACTAGTCTGAAACATTTCCAGGCAAAGGGAGGGGACTTATAAAAAGTGGTTACAATTACTGGCTAAGAACAGATGTTCCAATATTCCTGACTGATTAAAGTAACTACAGAGTAAGCAGTAACATTTTGTTTTAATAGGAACCAAAAAAGCAGTAAAAACAATATTTCAAAGCTGTCTTTCAGAGATGAATTTGCATTCTGGAAGAGTGGACTATGAAGAATGTAGAATTTGCTTAATGCAGCACCAAGAAATTTGGCATCATGAATTTCTGGACAATTTCCAGTTTTAAGATAAAAAGGCTCAAAGACCCTTCCTTTCCTGGGGTTTCTGCCAAGAAGCTGAAGATCATACTTTGGCTTATATTCATCAATTTTTAAGCAACAAAAGAATTATTAGGATATTGCCTCTTCAACATGCTCAACCATCATGCAAATGTGAGCACTGGAGGCAAGAAAAAGGGATTTACATATTACCATCAAGTGTACCTGCAAACTGCTTGTCCCCATTTCCTCGGCTACCAAATCTGGTGACTATTTTCCCATTCGGCTGGAAGATGAACACACAACATGCTTTGTTGTCCACTACAATGATGTGCCCATTGCGATCAACAGAAACACCTTTTGGTCCCATGAGCTTTCCAGACCCAATTTTTGCCTGTCAGAACAAAATGAAGAACATCATTAAAAATTGTACCATAAAAATAAACCAATATAATACAGAGACCTCCTGTAATAGTGAAATATATCAAAGCCACATTTTTTAAAATCTAAAACTAAACCAATATATTAACTGCTGGTATAAGACAATACAAATATTTTCACTCTATTTTTTTCACCTTTTGAGAAGAAAAACTTGCTGAAATGTGTCCTTTCTAACATAGAAATCTATCAGCATTCAAGCATAAAGGTGCCAGATTTAATCTTGCATATGCTAAATTCATGCTGTGCTGAAGCACTTCAGCAGTTATGGAAGCCAAGAACATAACTTGTCAATTGCAAAAATGTCAGAATTTTGTATTTTGGAGGCAATTGGATGTTTTGACATTAATACAAACAGCTGTGGGCCAGACTGCAGCCAGCCCCTTCTATGTCTATGGGGATGGAAGGAAGGTAGAAAGAAATTCTTCCTCTTTGGGCAGCCTGTTCTGACACCAACTAAAATGTGGCTGAATAGAGCTCTCTTCCCCCTATTGCCAATTACCTTTAAGAGGTAGAGAAGAGCAGAGTCAAGCTGACCGGGATATGAAGTAAAGCATTTGTATAACAGCAAAGAGAATTTGAGAACCCATGAAAGAAATCCCAATAAAGTCAAAGCCAAAGTTAGCCTCTAATGTCCTGTCATGAACCTTTATGAAATTACACTATTCACACAATTAAAAAGATGGAATTATGCCTGAAATAGGTAGAAAAGCCAGGAAATCTTGGTGCAAAATTATCGGATAAAGCAGTCATTGAACCACTGAATGAGGCATACTGTTTACTCCAATTTATGTATTTCAAGTGCAGTAAGCAGGTCTTGTGACTGTGAAGCATAGCTGCAATAAGAATTAGCAGCTGCAAGAGGTGATGTTATAGCACTGGAAAGATGCATTACTTCCAGTGAGAATGATCTGGATCACATCACTTATGTAGGCTGAAGGTTATGAGAACATGCTACAGAGTCCTCAAAGTAAAACAGAACTAATGCTAAATGACCCACGGAAAAGTGCCATTTTTGGTGTACACAACTACTGGATTAAGGTCTCCATATAGAAGAGTTGTTAATATTCTTGCATTTGTTGTGAAAGAGAGAATTACACAACTAGACAGGGCTAATGGCATGAAGCAACCAGTGTGATATGCCCAAGAAGGAGGCACTAATCTAAGATTTCCCCTGGCCAGCTCAGAAAAAGCAGCAGGTAGGTGTAGAAGCTTCAGAATCCCCATCAGCGTCCCGGGCCAAACAAAAACTGGGACAGAACCTCAGAATGCATCCTGAATTATCTGGACATTAACATGTTTGGATCAGGAAGAAGCACACCTATTCCCATATTCCTGAAACTTAGACAACGTTGGCTCCTTTTGGGCTCCTATAGATGTGCAGGGAGCCAGCTCGGACACGCTGGAAATCCAGTGTGTCGGAGCAGATTCAATTAATTAAGTCTGCTGGAGCACAGAAATAAATGTGCTCCAGTAGACTCTGGCATCACATGTATCAGTGTCCCTGCACTGAAAAATGGTAGCAGGGTGCTTTGAACTAAATGATTTGAATGAACTTTAATTCCAAGCACCCCACTGCTGTTTTTCAGCACGGGGGACACTGATACATGTGACGCTCAGGTGCTTTTAATTAGGGTGGCTCACTAATTAAAGCTCCACCGCCCCCCCTCCGTGCCTCCTTGAGCACATGTAAAAGTGCCCTTTCATTCCAGAGAGAGGTAGTTAGCTGTGCCAAGCTGAAGTCATGCAGAAGGCAGGGCAGAGTGGCACCTTAGAGACTAAAACATATTCAGAAATTCTGTTAGTAATATCATTTGCTAACATTTTTGTAAATAGATGGTGGATGTTCACATAGGCAAATTGGAACACTGACATTTGCATGGAACTGCCAAATTTTGCAACTTTGGGGCTCTTATACATGTGCAGCGAGCCTGCTCCGACATGCTGGAAATCCAGTGTGTTGGAACAGACTTGATTAAACAAGTCTGGAGTGCAGAAATAAACACATTCCAGCAGACTCTATCACCACGTGTATCAGCATCCCTGCACTGAAAAAATGTCTCCCTGATGCCATTTCTTCAGCGCGGGGACACTGATACATGTGATGATTGGGCACTTTCAATTAGTGCAGTTCACTAATTAAAGCATCCCATCCCGCACCCCACACATCTCCCGGAGCATGTATGAAAATGCTGGTTGGGATTCCAGTGAAATATTTTTCCATCAGAATGTACCGATTTGTCAAAATCAAAACATCATGGAGATGGATAGATTTTGACAATGTTCCAACAGAACCCAGGCAAGAATCTGACGGAAACCAGTTCAGTTCTAGCCAGTTTGTCCATTTGCCATCTCAGCAACCTACAGCACGAATGAGACCAGATCTCCAATCATATAAGAGAAATGATTTTTTTTTTTTTGCACACTTCTACCTTCAACCTCAAGAGGCATGGCCAGAAGATGCACGCAATTTAAGAAGACAGGGACAAACATGCCTTGTGCACTCCACCACTTCCTAGACATTTTTTCCAGGATTCTTATGGAAAAAGACTCAGTGTCTCTCCTCTGCCCTTTATTACTTCATATAAAATAACATGAATAAAACCACATCGCATACTTATGGGCACTCAGCATGGAGTAAAGTAATGAAGTCATTACTCTTGAGCCAGGATTTCAAAACAATTTGCAGGCAGCACACAAGTTATATCCAGCTAAGGGTTGCAGTGCTTATAACCAGAAATCTCATCTTTCAGTTCAGACCTGAATAAGTTTGTGATATGTCACCATGGCTGGCTCAACATATTATTCATGAGTTTGTACTTCTTGAAGGTTTTTCAGAATTATAGGTTTGATTATTTAGAATAGAACATTTTGAAATCAAGTCACTGCTATTAATGCCATGAATTGAAATATTCTCTGACTTTTCTGCCACTGGGAAAACATAAGTGTACTGACTGATCTAAACCTTTATTAGTGTAAATTGTGTGTTAAAATAGGTTGTCAAGTACATTATGTGCCTTATTTTACATGCTCTTATGAATTTAATTTATAAATTTTCCTTCTTGGCTTTCAAATATGCGTTTGAAGAGTCTCCCACCACTCTGACAGAAAATACTCTACCATAGGATATTCCTATGGCTGAAACCATTAGTCCCTTGTATCTAAAATGTAAATACTTAACTCTTTCAGTGTTGGGTTTGCTAGCTTTTTATTTATGTTTAATTTGGCAGATCTTCTTGCTGTAAAGGGTCTTGATCAACCGGCATTCAGTCTTTACCTATGTATGAGGACTTCCCCAACCAGCTCTTTTTTCAGTTACTCAGAGGTTGGAGCCCACTGTGGTACATTCTGCAGAACCATAAAATAAAATGGATTCATTGCTCACACATCTTTCTGCATCCTCACTTCACTTTATCCTCCTCTCTCTCTTTTCACAATTATTTCTAGTTAAACCTTCAGGCAGCTTCAAACACTTCCCTTTTTAACAAAGAAAAAAGGGAAAATCTGCTAAATGAAATGTTTCCTCCCACCCTTCCCCATATGTCAGCTATTACTATGATCTATGGCCATGGCCAATAGGTCTTAAACCAGAGGCAGACTGAAGGACTGATCTCTCAGGCCCCAGCAGTGCTAGAAATTAAAGAAATAGCTCCTCAGAGACATAGGAAACTTGGGTCTGGAGTAAAGACTTATGAAAACCAGTATTAACTGAAATTTCTAAAATAACCTTCAAACTTTTCTAAATCATTTACTATACAGAGGTAGTATATACAGACCTCATGGTGCTGCAATAGAAACTCACAATTTGGCTTCAGCAATTTTAAAGAATATGATCATAGCACATGTCAATAGCGCCATACCACCATGTAATTGCTTGCTTGTTTTCTCTGTGTTAATACCTGATTACACTTCTTAATAGTATGTATTATCAAAGATCTTAGCTCAGTGATAAGCTGAGGAGAAGGAAGGATGAGGACACATTGGAATGCTTAGGGGCCTGGGAAGCAGGACTTATGAGGAAAGGCTGAAAGAGTTATTTAGTCTGTAGAAGGGAAGACTGAACAGGGATTTGACAACAGTCTTCAAATACTTGAAAGGAGATTATAAAGAGGATCAAGATGGGCTTTTCTCTGTGGCTGTACAAGATTGCAATAGGAGCAATGGCCTCACTATGCACCAAGGGAAATTTAGGTTGGAGATTAAAGGTGTGTCTAAATGGGACATTTACTGCAGTTGCCTCATTAGATCTGCAGTAACATCTTAAACATGTGGCCCTATTAGGCCACAGGAAACTAATAAACTCAGATTTTTTCATGCGCAGCAATGTACGTGTAGATGCTGACTCGGCTAAGCTTGGGCAGGAGGGTGCTTCAGTGCGGGGGCTGCCTGCTGGCTAGCCCTGCACTGGAGCACCCTCGTGCCCTAGTCAGTCCCTCTGCAGCACGTTGAGCTAGGTCAGAGCAGTCCTGGGTTCCCTGACCTTAAGTTTTAGATCCCCTGGGCCCCCTGCCAGCTGGGGCTGATCCCACCTGGCTCAGGGGGCACACATTCAACTCACACTCGGGGGCACACATCAGCTGATCCCACCTGTGGTCCCTGGGCACACATTCAAACAGCACACCCAGGAGCAATAAACTCCAGTGCAATACTGCTTCAAATTAATTGTACATGAAGATGTGCCCTAGGAGAAATTTTCTGACTATGAGGCCAGGCAAGCATTGAAACAGGCTTCCTAGAGAAATTGTGAAATCTCCATCCCTAGAAATTTTCAAGAGCAGGCTGGACAGACACTTGGCTGGAATGGGTTAGTCAGGTGATCCTGCTTTGAGCAGGTAGCTGGATTAGATGACCTTGTGAGGTCCCTTCCAGCCTCAGTTTCCTATGATCCTATAAGGAAAATATGGATAAGGAAAATGAAGAACCAAGAGATGGAGTCACTTGCATGGGGTGACCTAGTAGAGCAGAAGACAAGTTCCTAAATCTGAAACACTCTGTTAAAAAATGCTGTCTCCCCTTGTAAGAAACTCTGGATTAGGTATAGTGTCACAATAGTATTTTGCTAAATTAAATGTTATATAATATTCAAGTTGCAAACTTTGAGAAAACTATAGACTCTGCCCCTATAGTTAGTGGTGACTGAACACATTGGAAGCTAACACTTTTCTCCTTGGCAAAGAAGTTTGCTGAGTCAGCCAAGTACTCCAGAAAATTATGCATATGTCTAGGCATGGCCCCTGGACAACTGGCTTCATAGCTCTCATGACTGTTAAAGTAGTGAAAAGGGAGAGGGCATGGAAGGAGAGAAAAAAGACTATAAAAAATGATAGCAAAAAAAAGACCAGGACAAAACTGTGATGGTACACACCTACTGATCTCCTAGCATCAGAAAAGATGCAAGTATCTCATGCCCCTGATTCTTCAAATGGAAGTGTCATTCATACTTTACTCATTTTTCCAAAGGTCTCAGAGTGTTTTGCAAAAGCTGTTCAATTCAGCCTCACAAAGCCTCTGTAAGTATTGTTGCCATTTTGTAGATGGAGAAACCGCCGCACTAGAAATTGTGATTTGATCACATTTCCAAAGTAAGTCAAGCAGAGCTAGGAATAAAACCCAGTTCCTGTAAATCTGTGCTTCTGGCACAATACTATATCTACCCTTTACATATAAAATGTTTACATAAACTGTTGTGGATGTTTCTCTTACACATTATGTCAATATATAACAAAAACATTCATATTACAAATTAAAGTTTTCCTCTCCCATGCAATGAGTCTAGTCACTAGTCCCATAAAGTTTGATCTACTGACTTCTACTGGTAAAAAAGTCTTGGCAAACTTGTTCCTTTCCATAGCTCCTGGAGTCCAACAAAAACACATACTCAATTAAAACAAAGCTCGTCTCTGTGTCCTGTGAACCACCTTAATATTGACATTTTCAATATTTGTCTCTCTCCTGGCAGCAAATACTGCACAGGATGCTGGTACCCAAGACCTCCAGAGCTCTTTTCTGCTTAGCTACTGAGCCACCAAGCATCCAAGTTTCTTAATTTATGAGCAGCTTGGGAGAAGTAAAGAAAAACAGTATTCAAACACATAGCTCCAAATGAAGTCAGTTTACATTAGAGATTTTAATTATGTATAAAACGTACAAGTTACTCAGAGGGTCTTGATTCTGAACTCACTTGCGCCTTTTTTATGCCAGTATATTTTTACTTTATTTATGACCATCAGTGGAACAGCCTACCTTACATGAGGCGTCTCTTTACTAGCTGCACATTTTGGAAACTATTTTATCTTTATACGGGAAATATCTCATATTTTGTGTAGACACACAAGATATTCTATACTGGTTTTTTTTTTTTTTTTTTTTTTACCAGATCTGTTACAATATTATAAAAACTGGATTTTTTTTTTTTTATTAGCAGGTATAAGAACAAAAGGCAGGAGACAAAACTGCCTATATCCTAAGGTTACATGAGTTCCCAAGTTACTGGACTAAATTGTTGAAAGGGTTATAATGAAAGTCTCGTGTCTACTACAGAATGGAAATTAATGCCAAAGTGGGGCATTTCCTTGTTCTTTCCATGACCAACTGAAAGACATTTTAGTGTCATTTACCACCATGGAATGGCACCATGGAATGAATTACTAAAGTTGAACTCTGGAAATAATGGGAGGTAGATTCTCAGGAGGTCATTTGTTTCACTGAAGAGTATATTACTATCTCTTCCAGTGGGATCAGTCATAGACATAGTCAGAGACATAGCTTTTAATTTTACCTAACTCATGCACTGCAGGACAATGGGCATCAGGGGTAAACTGGCTGTTTTTCTGGAGTGGTAACTTACTTTTTTATTCTGTCCTCTTATTTAATAGCATCTCAAGGGCTCATATAAACACAAGAGATTCATCACTCCAGAGGGGATTATTACTATCTCAAACCTAAGGAATTTTCTAGTGTGTTGCATTTCTGTGCTGATAAAACACTTCTTTTTACAGAGCTACTGAACTTGACAAGTTGTTAAGTTGTCACCATGATTTTTTTTAAGATTAAGACATCATTTTAAGATGTAAAGTAAGTTCCACAGAGAAAAGTCCCTGTGATTTACTATGGGTCAAATTTTGCCACCACTACTTATGTGGAGTACTAAATTCTTGAATTACCCCTTGAAATCAATAGCATCTTGTCTAAACTAGGGTTTAAGGCAGTAGAAGCCAACCTTTTGGCAGGCATGCCACAAATTAAGCCCTACCTGTGCCCCAAGTGCCACTCTGATCTCCATCTCTAGAGACATGAATGAGTTTGAGCCCTGGGATGGTGGAAGACAAGTGTTACTGCCAAAAGTCAGGTTAACTCATCTCCAGCTCTGCAACTACCAGTTTTATATGGTGAACAGGATCCAAAACCCTGAATTCAATGGTGGCTGCAGGGCCAGGGAAGGGCTAACCTGGTTTTTGGAGGTAATACCTGACACCTCTGCTTGCAGCAACATCCTGGCCCTGCTCTGCTCCCTTTACTGAGAACCTGTGACTCACGTGCCACATAGCAGTTGCTTGTGCCACTTGTGGCATGTGTGCTACAGACTGGCCACCCCTAACTTAGAGTATGATGGTAATATATGTAGTTGACCCATGGTGACTTGAATTAGAAATTTTATAGAGGCACTTAACCTTTAATATTCACTGAACTAGTGAAGTTGACGGAGGTGGCATTTTAAATGATGGTGCCTGGGGTAGCATGGGGTGGGGGAGGGAGGAAGGGAATTGAAATCAAAGGATGGGGATGCTACTCACCTATCTAAGAAAGTAAATGCAAGTCATTTTTGCGAAATCAGGTCCTACATAAAGCACAGACATAGGAAACTGGTACTAAAAACCTCTCTCTTGCTTAAGCTAAAAGAGTACACTTCTTCCTGATACTAATAGTAGGCTCTTATACTTGTGGTAAGAATGTTGAAAGGATAACACCACACAGGATGGGTCTGTCCAACAAAGTTTTACCAGCGTAGCTGTCACCTAGGAAAGACCACACACACACATACCTGCCAAGAGACACAGCTAAGCCATCAAAATCCCCAGTCTGGGTGTAGCTCTGCTAACTAGAATAGGTTTTCTGCTAGATTAGCTAACGTCATTCAGAGAGGTGGTATATGGCAGCATAAAAATCCCATCAGCTGGCGCACACATCTCCATTTGAGGGCTCTGCTGATCTAGCTGCAATGGCATAGCTACAATGGTATAGCCTCCATAATACAGACAACCCCATGTTCATTGCTGTACACTTCATTTCACTTAGAAGAAAAGACTACAAAGAAATAAGATTCTTCTTAATCAATTAAATACACAAGCCACCAAGGATTTTCTTGGTCATGCCAAACTTCAATACCTGCTTATCAGGCTAGGTGTGGGTGAACCACAGCTAGTTCTGGTAATGACTACAACAACAACTACTGCAAAGAGCTGGGTGTCAAAGATGGTCAAGATATGCCTTTAGCATTTCTAACATGGATTAGAAATTGCCCCTCCTCTCTTGCTTTGTCCTACTTGTATTATAGCATGACTAATTTAACTCCCTCTAGGGTACAAGCCAGCCAGTGCAAAAGATAGCAGCCCATAATGCAACACTGGGGCAATCTTATAAAGATAATAGACCTGCTTTGCCTTCTTTTCACCAGTTGCCAATAGGAAAGTAAATGAATTACTTGCTTTGCTGACCTTTATGCCATAGTTAGAGGGGCCAATTGTCCATTTTCTGTCTTCCCAGAAACCTAGACACATTACAGGTATTGTGCAATTCACTGGTTAATCGTGCAATTACCTTCAGACCAGCTATACATGCATAGTAGCTATCACGCAATAAAAAGCTTTAACGAGCTATAAATTTAGACTGAAAAATGTGTACTAACTTTATAGCTGGTCACTACTGAGCTTAAATTTGCACATGTAGTATGGTCTCCCTTGCAGCTAGGTGCATCATCAGCTGACCGGGCTTCCAGCTACAGGGGCAGTGGTGACGTGTAGGGGGTGCACGGGAGTGCACGTGTACTATGGCCACTTTCAGGAGCAGTTCAGCCGCTCACCAGTTGGTAAGTTTTGCGGGAGGGGAGGGATCCCCTCCCCCTCTCCAGTTGGCACCAGTCACCCATGCACAGGGGTGTACCATACCTAGCATGAATGGTTATTAAATAGTTGTATTTGGAAGCTACCCTCCCCATAATGAAATACTGTAGACCACTTTATGACACAATGTATGTTGAACTGTTTTGAACTGGACTTAATTATTTTGGCTGTTTTGCAATTAAGTTACGGTACAGAATCCAGTGAAAGAGAATGTTATTAATTAAACTATATCTTTCCTATTTAATACACTATTAATATCACAATATTGGCTTTTCCCTTGCTTTTAGGTACTTTATCATCATGAGCTTCCACAGAAAGACTGCATTTTTTAAATCAGTTTCATATATTTAATTTTCGTTCTTGAAACTAAACAGACATTATTAATCTCTTCCTTAATAAGCTGTACCACACTCAAGAGTATCAATATTGTAGTCTTACCTTAAATTTCCCATCTGATGAAAATATGCTGACCCATTTGTTGTCATAATCTGCAATAATGATGTCACCACTTGGATGTACAGCTACTCCTGTGGGACGCTGTAACTGGCCAGGAGATCTTCCTCGTATACCAAAACGACTTTTGAACTGGCCATCATTGGAAAATATCTGTGATAAAAATTACATTTATGTTTGAAGTAATTTTCCATAATCACATTAATCTAGTTCTTGGCCTTTGGGAACCAGCAAGATAGGTAAACCGTAGAACTATTATGGCCAGATAGAGGACTGTAAATATGAAGCACTGTTATAGCCTATGTTTGAAAGCTATAGGCTCAAGTTATAGAGAAGCCTCAACCTAGACCCTAACTTGATAATAAATATGTGCTTTGCACTGATATAGCACCATTTCTTCAATGATCTCAAAGTGCTTTACAAACATAAGTAAATTAACCTTTACAATGTCCCTCTGAGGTAGTTGGAAGGAAGCATTGTTATTCCCATATTATAAATGAGGAACCTGAAGCACAGAGTGACTTGGTCAAGGTCATACGGGAAGTCTGTGAAAGAGATGGGAATAGAACCTAGAACAGAATTTCAACAATTAAATCAAGTTATCTAATTTAGAAGATAAAGTTGGGCCATCCCTGAGAGATGATTAACATCTCTCAGAATTTAGCCTATCTGTTTCCAAGCCAGGTAATTAGATATTGAAATTCCACTTGTGGCTGTAAATATTGAAATGAGAGTGCAGAACGTTAAGAGCACATTTAGAAGCCACTAGTGAAAACTTGACAAAATGAAAGCATGGGTCCATTTATCTCCAACCATACATGCTGTCCAAATAGAGCAGACAAATCCTTAACAGTGAAAATGACACATGATAGAAGGGGGCAGGGGGTGACATAGCTTGATTTTCACACAGGAAACTGAATCTAATACCTAAAGGCAAGAAATAGACGTCATGGGGCCTGCTGCTATAGAAATTAATGTTTCCATTTTAAAATCAGAGAGAAAAGTAAATTAAGAGAACTAAAAGTCATTTGAAATGACACCTACATTTTGTTTTTCCTCAGAGGTCAGCTTATGAAACTGGATGTTTGGACACTTAATTCTGCTTTGTGTGGAAATATGGAAATTATAAACTTGTAATGCCAAGTCATACTTGCAAATAAGACACACTTTTCTAATATCACTTTCCTGATTGGTCTTTTCTTTATATTTAAATATATTAAAAAGGGAAACCATGTTTGCAAATCTGCTAACTGATCTGAACTAGATACCGGTTATCTCAAGAAACCAGAATGACCAACCATGGGCATTGCACATGGTGGGCTTCCTTTATATTTTCTATCAGTACTTGAATCTTCCAAAACTTGTCTCTACTAAAGTCAAATACTAAATATGGCAAATTATCATACCTGCACGCACTGGTTGTTACTGTCTGCTATTAATATTTTTCCATTTGTAGATGCAGCTACCCCCTGAAGGTTTGTGAATTCCCCTTTGTTTCTTCCTTTGGTACCTAGAATTGGACGTGAAACACACAAGTGAGGTTATACACATCTAATCAACTAAGGTTTTTGATCTCAGCATATTTGTTCTTTCTTTCCTTGGTAAATTGTTCCTTTCCTCAATCAAAATTAACTCACAGAACAACAGTTCTGAAAAAGAAACAGCATCGTTCTTTAGCCCCATTAAAGCAGTAATCCCTTTAGCCTTTCAGAAACAGCTGCCTCTGATGCTTTTCTGTGACAACAAACAAAATACTTCCTACAGGATGGCTATTTGGCTTCATTATGCCCAGAAAGGAATGAGACTGGTATGATATTCACATACTAAGTGAAAGGCACTAAAATAAGAATCTGGGTACATAGATGAGTATGTAGTGTTAGTGGCCTAAGCTCATCCATTTCACCTGTATACATAATTCTCATTTTATAATATGTAGATGTTCCTTCTATTGAAAACTCTGAGGCAGAGACCGAACTTTGTTAAAGGTTTGTACAATATCTCACACAATGGAGATGTGATCCTGATGGGGACCTCAGAATGCTATTGTAGTATATATATTAAACATAAAAAATAGTTCCTGTAGTGCAACACGTGTTTGAAAGCAAGAGCTTTCAACAGCATTCACTAAATCTGGGTGCCTCAGTTGTTTGTTTTCCATTTTGGATGCGTCTACATGTGCATTCATGCGCTTTTCCTAATAAGCATTGCATTTAGTACTTCCAATGTGAAGTACTGCATAAAATGCACATTAGGGTGCCCTAATGCACAGTAGCGAAATTGCACACTATTTTAGTGATGCTTAATGCTCAGTAGCCTATTTTATTTTACATTAGCATATTAACACAGTTTTTTATACAACATTTTAATGCACATTAAAATAAACTACTCCGCATTAAAACGCTTGTGTAGACACACCCTTGGAGACATTTGGAGAGTCCCTGTAAGTTAGAAGGATCACCTCTGCAAGAATGGCCAGATCTTGAACCAATGTAGTTTGTAACTCTACATAATGACTATATTTATTTTCAAACAAACAACTAACTATGCAGTTTACTAAAACCTGACTGTAATGCTATTTTATGTGGGAAAGTATTTTACAAGCAATCATTGACTGCATATCCTACACATTATATGTTTCAATATATAGTCTTAATTTGAAAGCTGTATTTTGTTTTAGCCTCAGATATCCTGTAGTACAATTATTAAAGTGTTTGATTGTGATTCTGGATGTAAGAGTGATGCATTAGCCCTACTTTGCCTTTAGCTTTCATTAGTGATGCACGTTTAAGAGCTATGCCTTTCCTCCACTCAATCTGCTCAGGTGGTGGGGATTGGATTCACAGTTTCCATTATTGATTAACAAGAGCACTTAATTGCCCTGCAGTTTGTGCTGAAAATATATTCCTTTCTTTCTCAGCCTGCTCTTATGACTGCAGGGTACTTATATCTTCTCAATGAGATGCATACTTCTTGTAATTTTTGCATTGCAAAGGGAAAATAAATGATAGAGGGAAAGCAAGCTATATCTGAGTTATGCTACCCAGACTTGAGTCATTTCTGTGTATTCTTTTAATGACCTATACCCATGGGCATGCATGCTGACCCAGTAATTTTCTTCCTGCATATGTTAATGATAACTTCCCTTTGTGCCCTCCAGCCAAAAGAAGTGGGTGAAAAGTGAGAAGCATTCCCCTTACTACTGATGGAAGAGGAAAAGCATTTGTCATTAAAAGAGGAGGCGTAAGTCAGAGCATCTGGAAACAACTAACATGAACTTTACAGAATGCAAAATCTTTTCCTCAAGAAGAACATTCTCTAAAATGAAAATTCCTTGACTTTTAAGATAACTCAGAGTTACATAAAGGGCTAGTCAGAGTGCTCTTCAATGGGACCTTGTAAATATACATTAGGAGAACAAAACAGTGGACATTGTTCAGGAATGTCACAGCTACAGTTCCCAACAGAATTTATGAATGGTAATTTATTGCCAGAGTTTACAGAGAGTGAAATTCAGCCCAGAGCAGAGGGTCTGTGTGAGGCACTTGGCAGTTATTAAACCCTTGAGTGGCAGGCAGGACTTTCTATGGTGTTTCTGTATTGGAGTGAATTTTCCAGCAGGAAGAAAATGGCACCAAGCTTCAGCTAATTTTCTAATGTACAATCAACAAGAAAATGAGCAACCCAGAACTTTCACCAAATACCATGTAGGATCAACAGAGTAGGGGTGACACCTCATCCAAGGAACTTACTTGGCTCATAAATCCTCTTTTTACAAGATAAACTCTACCATAAATATTGTCTAATAGGCCCCTGGCAGACATTACACATAAGGCATAATTAGTCTGTTAATCATGTCTTAAATACTAGCCTGGCCACATGTTAAGGGAATTAATGATTCCACATTTTTTGTAACATGAATTCCACATTTTGTGGCTGGTTTCCATCACACCTTAACTTGAACCAATGGCAGAGTTAAGTGACTGTCAGTTGGCTCCAGGACTGCACCAGAGCTCCAGCTGGCCCTGGTGCGGTCCCCAGAGCTAGATGATCATTATCTGATCATTGCTTGGCTCTGGAGACAGCTATGGAGCTGGTTGGAGCCCTGTGTAGTTGTGGAACAAGCCAAAAATCAGCTTATTGTCAGGGATCTGGCTTTCAGCTTGCCAGGGCAGGGAGAGCCTGGGATTATGATTCCAGGTTCCCTTTCCACTAGAAGTTACACAAAATTGGGAACTGCTCTCTGATCCCATAATTGCACATCCTGCTATACCAATGTGGCATGGCAGGAGACATGATTGTTGGGATGGGGGATCAGAGCCCCTTGTGCCTTTAAATGAATGTCTGTCAGTAGCTGTAAAGATGCTGGCCCTCTTCTTCAGTGCACCCTGGACACATTGAGACCTCCAGTCCCTTGGAGATTTTACCGCACAAAACTGAAGACAAACATTAAATAGATCCAGCTGTTTTCAATATTTATAGGCTGATGATGCTCTGGTGCTTCCCAAGCAGTCAGATCCAGAGACTACCTGGGCTACCTTTTTCCCAACCCTTCCAACCTATGCCGAGTCCCTGGAGAAGAAAGCAGGTGGAGTGTACTTAATTCTGCAGCAACACTCATGGAACTTGGAAATCAGAGGACAGGGTGTAGGAGGGAAGAGTTTGGGGAACCCATCAAGGGTCAGTCTGTGCAGACATACACAAATGCTAGCTGCAGTTGCAGCACCCTCTTTTAATGATTTGGTTTTAGAAATAAGGTATTTTCATCTTATCACACAATAAATGTAATCATTTCATTTTTATAGCTTTGGAAATATTGTAATTATATTCATGGCAATAAAACTACTCGAGCTTGATAGTTCAATATCACTAAGATTGCCGGTAACTGTTTAATGGTGTGTTAATAGCAATGTATCTCGATGACACACTTGTTGCCATGATCTGAAAAACACTTGTAGGGACAGATTCTCTCTCACCTATTCCCATATTTACTTGAATCCCAGACAAGGTTTTTCCCTCCATTGAACATGGGGGGAAAGCCCTTACAAGCAAGGTAAAAGGGGGCAGGAAGGCACTGCAGCTTTGAGCAATCCTAGCTGGGTCATGAGTGATTACAGGGCTCTGGGGGCTGGGCTTAAGGGGTTAGGGGAACAGGTAGCTTTCTCATCCATCCTCCTGGTTGCAGGCCGTGGGCCTAGGAGAGACAGATGTACCGAAGAGGTGAACCAAAGGCTTTGGCAATGGTGCTACCCAGAGATGATCCCAGGTGCAGGGCCTGGGGCAAAGCAGCTTGCGCGGGGCCCCTCTCCCCATCCCACAGCACACTTATGCTAGGGAGTGAAAGCCCCAGCACACCAGACACAGTGGGAGGGGTGGCGGCCAGAACTTCCAGCCAGAACAAAAAAAAGAGACGTCCAACCTGCTGGGAGGGAGGGTGGGTGGGCTAAACATCAGCTGTGGCCTCTCCACCTGGCTCTGTGGGGCCCTCTAAAGTGCTGGGCCCAGGCAGTTGCCCCGATTCGCTCCCCCTCCAGGGACAGCCCTGGTGCTACCGAGAGGGTTTTGGCTTCCTGGACCACAGCATGCACTTCAGAGACAGAGGTCTTCTGGGAAGGGATGGTATCCACCTCACACCAAAGGGGAAGGTTTGGTCAGGATAGCGGACCTCCTCGACAGAGCTTTAAACTAAGATTTCCAGGGGATGGAGAACAACGAGCGGAGCAAGCCCAGGGGCCAAGAAACAAACAACCATTACAACAGGAGATGACAGGAAGGACACTACAGCATGAGCTGTGGGAATGGAGCTCCCTCAATGTGACAACGTGAATTGGTATTAAGGAAGGGCAACTTGAGACCTTCTTGGTCAAGATACAGGGGGGACATGGCGAAAGGGACCTAACTTTGGAATATATTACAGATCTCCAAATCAAGATGAAGAGCTAGATTTGGAAGAGGCTGCAAGAGCATGGGATATGGTCATCATGGGCAACTTTAACTACCCAGACATCTCCTGGGAAGAACACTTGGCCAGATCTGACTGGTCACGTAGATTCCTGACTTGTATCAACAACCTCTACCTGTCTCAGGAAGTATATGGGTCGACCAGAGGAACTGCCCTCCTAGATTTAGTCTTGGTCAAGAGGGACGACCTGGTGAGTGATCTGAAGATAGAGGGTAGCCTAGGCGACAGTGACCACAACACTATCACTTTCATTGCCTGTCGTAGGGCTGGGGAAATATGTCAGTAAGGTACAAATTTGACTTTAAGCTAAGGGCTTTAGTGAGTAGAGTGCGGACGAAGAGTGGTCATTCCTCAAAGATACAATCCTCAGTGCGCAGTTGTCCATACCTGTATGCAAAAAAGGTGGCACAAGGGCCGGGAGGTCATCTTGGCTCAACAGGGAAGTCACAGATCTTCTGAAAAAGAAAAGGGAGGCTTAATAGTGATGGAAGCTAGGAATAGGCCCCAAGGAGAACTACATAAGATTGGCCCACACCTGTAGGTGGCAGATT